AAGAGCAGGCTCTGACGTGAAGACTCAAGCCATTTTAATTGCAATTAAAATGAATCATTTGCAATGCTCTCGGCTTCCTAAAATACCTATTTCTAACAAAAGAGTCAGTCATACTTGAGCATCCAAGTATAGAGTGGATGTGATAAACTCAATGCCTTCAGGACAAAGTTCTTGGCAGCCCATGTAATTAAACCAGCTGCTTTTCAACATGGTTTAAGACTAAATACTGCACGAACGTTAATCATCAGGGACTGCTGTAATCAGCTCGGCAACCGTCAGGAATGACTATTTCCACTGCAGCCATTGATTACTTAATGGCTTTCAGGAGGGGTTGATATAGTCATGTCTATACAGCAATGAATAGAGTCTATGGGCTGCTACTTAGCTTGGGGGGGGCATTTGCTTGGCACTTAGCAGGGAAAAAAATGGAGGAATATATCTGTTTCTGGGAAAACATAGGCCTCACTGCAAAGCACAGAGGGACCAGCAACCAGCAGTTGCAAAACAGCTACTTTTGGGCTGTTTCGGTCCTTGGTCTGTCAAACACAAAGGGGCAGTTACTGGGGATGCTCATGAAAGCAAATCATCAAATCAGGAGGTCTGAGCCTGGGCGAAGAGCTATCCCATGCCAGTGCTTGCTCCATGAGCAAATACGGATATTTGTGGGACGTGGAGACAAAGGACTAGTTTCTCCAGGGCTTTTCCAATCTGAATGAATGCTTTAGATTAGATGTGGGAGTGGGCATTGGATGCACCTAGTCCCAGAGCAGAAGCAGAGGGCACCAACTCGGCAAAATACACCCCAACCCATCGTGTTGTCTCAAGCCACTGCACCATCAGAAATGACTACTGCTGCTGCCTCCCCCTCGCCTGCCCACTTTCAGCGTACTTTTGGGACTTGTTGATCTCCCCATCTCCCAGGTGGAGAAAAAGACTCAATCTGAGCATGAGCTGTCACTTGATTTCTCCAGGTTTTTGGTCCAGTTCAAGATTTTTTTTTAGCCTGGAGCTGGGCTCAGTTTCATCTTGAGAATAGTCGCAGTGTTTTACTGAGAGACACAAAGCAGCATAAAGAGCTATTCCCAAAATTGCTGCTGCAATCCACCCCAGAGGTGGCTGTGCTTTAGCGTGACAGGAGGAGAACAGCACAATTTTGGCAGGGAAATACATCCAGCGTGCACCATAACCCACCCTCATCTTCCTTTGTGTCCGCCTAACAGTTTAGAAGACGAAATAGGAAAAAAATCAGCTTTCCACTTGAGTCACATTTGCTTTTTGGTGGGGATGGGGAGCTTGCTCCCAGCTGGGTGAACACACACTTCAGTGGGCTCTGGATCAGGCCCAATGTTTGGCCTCCCCTGAGATGCAGTGATGAAAGGGGCTATAGAAATACCAAGCACTGTACTCTGGTCTTCATTTCATTATCTCACCAGGCAAGTGTGCAAGCCCCCAACAAGAGACAAAGGCCCTTGTAGGCTGTAATACGCTCCCTGACGTTCAGAAAGCATCTGGCTGTGCTAACTCTTCCCCTTTGGGTCTTTTTTTTATTATTATTTTCTCCTCGATAATTATTGTTTTTACCATGAGCATTAGGATATTTGCTTCATTATTCCTATAAAAGGCCAACACTTCAATGTCCTAAAAGGGTCATCAGAGCTTTTCCATTAATACTCTTCCCTTTCATGGCATGCGAGAAGAAAATACAAACTGGTGATGGAAGTTCAAGACTTATTTTAACAGCACACAGCCCTTAAGGGACTGGTATCCTATCCCCGTGTGGGTCATGTCTGGTCCTTTCCAAACTCAGGCCAAGCTTAAACAAATGTGTTAATGCTTAAGCATCAATAATCAACACAACTTGGTGGCGTTGGTGGAACATAGAGCCTGTGCCGCTGGGATAAAGCCTGTCAGCCTGCAGAAAGAATAGCTCCAGCTATTTAATAAATATTATTACCTAATCTTTCTAATGTCTCCTTCAGCGCTTGCTGTCTGGCAATCAGGCTGCTCCATGGCAATCATTAGTCCTTCCTGTTTTCATGAGATCATGAATTATTATCTCTGTAATAAACTGTCTCTTCCTTCTTGGCTCTCTGCACCCAGCAGCTGCCAGGGGAGCAATCCCAAAGCCTGGATGTGTCAAGGATGCTGGCAAGGGGCAACAGCAGATTCCCACCCATAATTAGAGCCTAGGGTCGTTAATGTCAACAAGCCCCATTTCTGTGTTGAAGAAACATTGCTGAAGATAAGGAGAAAGCATCTAGTCCATCCCTTTGAACCCACCACAAAGCAACCATAATGCTACATTAAAGTTAGCATTGAAACACCTTAACCTGACTCTCCTGACCAGCCTCTTCCCAAGCCTCAGGCCTCACCATCCTCCAACATTTCAATTACTCTGCTCCTTTCCTCCAAGACACACTCCACCAGACCTCTTCAGCCAAGACCAACCTCTGCAGTACAGCATCTGCCTTCTCCCAGTCCCCGCAACAGCCTTCCACTCCCTTCCTGTCACTCATCCTTCCACCAGTCCAGATATACAGCGTCTCCAGAGCCTCCCTGAGCCCCTCATACTCGACCACAGAGCTTCTCATGACAGCCACAGATGTAGGACTCACTCTGTGGGCTTCTTCTGGTGCCACAAAGGGCAGATTTTGGTTCTTAGGGCAGACTCAAAGGCAATTGGTTTCAGATAGGCAGTGGGTCAGGGCTTAAATTCTGCCATCCGAAGCCAATCTCTCCAGCCCATTGACTTTGAGAGACGCTGGAGAGCATCCACAGCAGAAGACACCCCAACAAACTTGGCTGTTTCTCGCACGCATGCATGTGTGTGAGCGTGTGCTGGCATATACGTGTGTGTATGATGGGGCAAGTCTGGGGCTTCTAAGTCAGCTCAATAGGACAGTCTGGATGCTCTTCAAGCTCCTGAAGGTTAATAATCAAAAACATGGGGGCTGTCCCTCCAAGAGGAGAACCCTCAGAGGTTTTGAACGTATTATTTACAAGAGATGGGACAATGAAAGCGATTTCAAAAGGAATGGAGCTTGCTCAGTTTTGGGATTGGGAGGAGGCAGAGAAGAGGGCAACCATAAGGAGTGGGGAATCAGAGCTGGGGAATGATGTCCTATGAGAGATGCTGCAAACCTGCAAGGCACGGTTTGGGGGTGTGGTGTGGAAGAAGACGGGGAGAGATGATGCAGTGTTAGCACATACAAGGTGGCTTTAATAGCTGCAAGCGAAAGATGTGCAGGGTGAAACCTGGTATTGCTAAGTCGAAGTTCCTGGATAGTGCATCCAGCAGCTAAAGCACAAACCTAGCCACCGAACATAGTTGGTCTTTATCACTGGCAAACAGTATCCGCCAAATCTTCCCCTGAAATTAAGTTTCTTTTTGTCTTAAAAAAAAAATTAAAAATTAAAGACCCCCTCCCCTCTGCAGATAAGTCTTAGAACTGGCGGAGCTGGCAGCCTGGTGGGGCCCCAGCTGGGGAAAACCGCTGGGACATCGGCCTGTTCCGCTGCCTGCCCCAGGCGCTACTGCTTCGTGCTCTTGGCGGGCTCCGAGGACTGCCGCACATCAGTCCACTCCTGCATGGTGCTCTGCAGCGCCTGCGTCTTCTCCTTGTCCACTTGCACGTAATCAACCTTCTCGTCCGAGGCGACCGACGAGGTGGAGGGCTGTGGGGAGGAGAAACACGGCCACCGCCTGGTCACTCGTCAGCTCCCTCCTCTTCCCTCTCACTCCTTCCCGCAGCAGCACCTCCCCTGTGGGTGCTGCAAGTCCACCAGCACCTCCCCTGCTCTACAGCTCATCGTTCTCCCTCTAACCTCCTGAAGGGTCTTGGATGGAAGATTTCAGCCTGCTCTGCATCTTGCTTGCATGAGACTGTGGTGCAATGGGAGGGTACAAACAGCACCTGGGTCTCTACGTTAACGCCAACTCTGGGACATGAATGTTTGGTTGCAAATGTGTTGTCTAACTGCTGATATCGCAAATTCAGCATTGCATCTTGCTCATTTTCTTGTAAAGAACTCCATAAAAATCCCAGCTCCATCCCTCTTAGCTGTGCTGACTCTACATATCAATGAGACTATTATTTTCATCCCAAAAACAACAGATATGTTTGCAGGTTCACACAGGAGACCTGTTGAGGAAGAAGGAGATCCTTTTTTCTGTAGTTTCTTGAGGCCTGGAACTTTGTCTGCCTCAACAGGCATTTCAGAGGATGCCCAGCTGCTTTCAGATGGAGCCAGATGATGTTTTTTAATGGTCTAAAATCACCTTTCCAGGTTGGGATATAATTTAAATTAGTAATACCTACAGAAATATTGCTGGGCAGAAAAAAACCCATCAAGGGACAACTGTCAAATAATAAAAAGACCTAACTAGGGGTCTGCTTTGCCTAGGAAACAAGGCAGTGTTTGAGAAAGTTGAGGCCAACTCACAGGTGACTCCCACAAAGGTTTATACAATGCCTTGTCCTTCACTGTCCCCTCTCGCTCAGGTGCTGCTTGGCTTGAGCCAGTCTTTCCTCACCCCTCCCAGTTTGCTCAGGGTGGCACCCAGCACCAGCTGCCTTTGGCCCACCCCCCAGCCCACACTGTCACCCCTGGGTGTCCTCTTCATCTTGGTATGTGGCCTGGCTGGGGAGGTTGTGAAATTTCCACCGTATGAGACTTTTAAGCCTCATCTGTCACCTCAGGAGAGATGGTTCCTTTTGGATGTGGAGATGCCCTGAGGTCCTCCCTCGACATTTTTTCCTATGATTTGCTTTAAGGTGGTGTTTGTTTCCCTTGTGTATGAACCTGGAGAAAAGTCACCAACATCTGGGTCTTTAGGAGCTTCCCCTTCCACATTTCCACATGACACTTGGCAGAGGCGTGCCATTCCTGACCCATCTTCTCCCCACAGCTCTTTCTCACTGGGCAACGGCTTGCTCAGCTCAACATAATCCAGCTTTTAAATACCAGCTTCACTTTTTGAGAGCAGTTTGTACTTTTCCTGCCTAAATGGTACCAGACTGGTAGGAGACAGGTGCCCATCGTTTTCTGAATGAGCTCCTGAAAGTATCTCAGGTGGAAAATCCAAGTCTGGACCTGTTGTTCTGAACGAGGAAAAAAAAAAAATCTGATACTTCTTGGGATACCACCTGACAGCTTTTGAATATACAATCTTCAGCTGAATTTCTGGTTTCATCAGCACCCCTGAACCCCTGCATATCCGTGCTTCTGCTGACACTTCCAGCAAGGCTGCAGATACGCAACAGGGACTGAGTCTGATCTAGAATAAATATAGCAGCAGATCTGCAGGAAAAATCACATCTCTGAGGTTACCATACCACTCACCATCCCTGCCGAGGGCTTTGGACCGTGCTGTTGCCCATGTGCATAAAAACCTTTAAAAATGCATCATTTTTAATCAGAAGTTTATAAAATCCCCCATACCTTTCTGTGTGGCCCTGGTGAGCTTGGCTGGAAGTCCAGGGCCAGATAATCCACACTCCCCGAACTCTTTTTAGGCGCTGGGCTGTTGGTGCCACTAGGAACAGGAGAAGCAGAAATGGGGTTTTGCTAATGCAGGGAAGAGACAGGAGAGATAACAAGGATTAAAATGGGAAGAAGGAAAAAAAAAAAAAGAGAATTAACACAAATTTGGCAATGAAATGCCTCAGTGGCAGTTTTAAAAGAGGTCCCAGCCTGGGTATTTGCTCACCTGCGTCTGGGACCAGGGTGTGCAGAATTGCTGGGAGACTTGATATATTGTATATTGTGCTAACAAATACTTCAAGCTCATGTATTTTGTGTATTGGAGCAGTTCTGCTGCCTTTGTGCTGATTTTAGTCACATGCCTGACATCAGACGTGGGCTTCAGCATTTCCCAGGAACCACACCTCAGCGAGGCCAGACCAGCTCTGGGATCTTCACTAATCGCAACCGTGCTCCGCAGAGCACAGATTTCTTCTACCCCCTTAGTTACACAGCCTCAAAAATATGCTTCGAGTCAATAGCTTTGCAAAGAGAGACAAAATCCCCTCCCTGTAAGCAGTGCCACTCCCTGCTGCTGCTCCGATAGCCCCTGCCCTCCACACAAACATGATGTCAGCAGCTATTAGGGGGAAAAAAAAAAACTGACAAAAATCAACTTAACTTAGGAAAATAGACTGCAACAGTCCATAGACATTTCTATTCCCTCCTCATTCCTGGCAAAGTAGGTGATACATGTTCCTGCTCTCATATACAGTTAAAACCCCAAGGGGATGTGTCTTTTAGAAACAAAAGCCACTCTTTCGTGTATGTAGGGATGTACATAAGGATGTACACCAGATCCATCATGGTGCTGTGAGCACTTCCATGTCATGAGCTAGGAATGTGTTTGCAGAGCTGGGGAACGTATATGTCCTGCCAGCACCATGTATTTTAGCTGTGGGGCCCTTACCATCGCCACGTAGTTCTCCTCGCTGTCTCCCGAGTCAGTGCTGGTGATGCTCTGGGAGGAGACAGGGCGACAGTATTGCAAAGAGCCGGCGTTGAAGGTCTGGCTGTAAGGACAAGTGTCAACGTGTTAATGATAGTTGCAGGTGCTGCTTGTCCATTGCCAAGGAAGGATGGGAGAGGGCAGCACCTGATGCCTCCAAATATCACCATGCTGAGGTCTGGGGACTGGGCATGAAGAAGAGTGGGTGACATTGAGGTTGTCCTAACCTGACCTTTCCACGGTTCAGAAATCACTGGGTTTGGTCTTCTTAGGTTTTTTTTTCTTTCTAGGACTTTTTAGTAACACCTTGCTTACTACGTACCTGTAACTCTTGCTATCAGCTACATAAATCAGGCTTCATGAACTCTGTTATCTCACAGGAAGTATTTAATTGTGGAGGGTGCAGGGCAAGCCCTAGTGGAGCTTCTCACCTCCAGCCTCACCACAGCTCTAGGATTTGTTTACTGTGCAGGGCCCTATCTGAATTTTTTGCTGGAAAACAAAACCTCCAAGGCATTGTCTTGCTTCCAATTGGCAAAATCTAATTATACAGAATAACATAATGCAATCAGCATCTGGCATTAAAGCTTGTGTCTTAAAAAGCTATTTGTTGCCTTGCAGTAAAGGCAGGGTCATATGATGAGCTGATAAGGGAAAAATCCATTAGCTTCTCCGGGGTCAGATGTCCTGTCAATCAAACCCTGCTTGCTGTTTCCTGGCGCAGTGATTTCAGCACGCAGCGCTCATGCCCTGCAGTCAGTCTCCACACAATCCGATTTATTAGAGGAGTCATAGCAGCCAAGCTTTGCTTCTGCCTTTCATTGGACAGCCTCAGACCACGAATTAGCAGCAGAACTGGAATTGTGCGAATCCTGTTATTTTTGGCCGGCAGACTTTGCTCCGAAGGGCTTTGGTTTCATTTTGCAGACTTCCTTCAGGTTAGGCTTTGCTTTCAAGGCACGGCTCGGCCAGACCCTGCGAGTGTCACCCTGTGTTTCGAGACTACAGTGGGTTTTTTTTTGGGGGAGAGCTGGATGTGAAATCATGCCCCGTGCCCCCAGTGTGGCTGAGTCAGGGTGGCTCAGCTGGGTCATGAGTCGCGGTGGACTACAGGTCCTGTGTCAGAGCCACAGCTCTCCAGGAGTTGTCAGATCCCAGAAATAGGAAATGTCTTCAAGGGATCTTAATTAGCTGCTTGGCCACATGCTGGGCTTTCATGTGAAATCCTGACCTGAATGAATTTAACTTCCTGCCGCCAGCTGTGATGTGGGAAATATGACTCAGGCTCTTACAACACTTGACTAAGCTTGTGAGGGGTCCAAGAGAGGAGCCCCTCTGTTTCGACAGCATCTGGCCCAGGTCCTAAGTCTGGCCATTATTTGACCAAAGAAGCCCCCGAGCCCTGAATCGCCTGGGTGTGGCAGGATATTTTAGGAAAGAAATCCTCCATAAATGCCCTTCTTCCCACATAGCTCCTGCTCGTCCCTGATGGGGGTAGGGTGTTGGGCAAAGTGGACTTTCATCCCAGTGCAGATGTTTGCATGGCACGGCCCAGCTCTGCATCTCCTGTTTCTAAAACTGGCAAAGAACACAACGAGGGCTGAAGGGATCATCCAGCTTTGGGGGAAATTTGGCGCTGCATCCAAAGTCTGGGCTTACTTCTAGCTTGATTCAAGATGGCCCAGGAGAAATGTGCCCCTTCAATAAAAAGAGGTGGTGGGCCAGAAGAAACCTCCGCAGTGAAGGGAGGCAGAAGGGCAGCCGACACCCCCCTTACATTCAGCCAGAGACGTTTAATCCATGGCAGAGGTGACAGAGTGGCTACATGTGGACACCAGCAAGAGCAAGATCAGAGATCTGCTGTTGGAGCAAAGCAAGAATTCATACCCCAGCCATTACTCACGTTGGCCTGGACCAGGATTTTGTGACTGGTGATTTGAAGGGAAGCTCATCAATGACAGTGTTGTTCCTCAGGTCCAGCGGCGATGGCTTTGCTGGGGAGGGGAAAAGTCTTTATTCAGAGGCAGCACATTCCTAAAATTCAGCATCAATGACTGGCATGAGGGGGTCCTCATCAACTTGCTGTTTGATTCCCGTCCTGCTAATCAGCTCCCCAGCCCTCCTTGCTAATGACAAATAACCCCCACCAAAATCTCTGTGCTTGTTTACACCAGGACTGGGGGAAACCCCTTCTGACCCTAAGCCCCAGAGAGGATGGGTGGCCCCAAAAGGGCAATGTGCATCCCAGGGAATGGAGATCTGCTAAAAATGCCCAAACCCATTCATTAGAGAGCTGTGATAACCCATTAGATGGGGACAAGACCAGGCTCTGCCAGCCCTGAGCTGCCTCCAGCCAGTGTTTCCCCATAGCGAATGGGAAAGAACATTTGCAGGGTAACAAGAAAGCTCTTCTCACCATGAGTCGTTCACTAGGTGGAAGACAAGACCGCTGCACTCCCACACCAGCCCTTGTCTAGCACATTGATGGGGTTAGGTGCTGTCACCCTAAGGATGGCACCTCTCCTCCTCAGCATCTCCTTGGTGATCTGTTAGGCAATGGTCTGGGGAGGGATTTGGAGGATGCAGGCAAAGCCATAAGGGAAGAGCTGTCTACATCCAGCCAGTAGGAAACAGTAGGAAAAATTTGGGACATCTGAATACAACACAGAATTTTGGAGGGGAGCATAGGGAGGGGTGAAGGCAAAGGGGGTGAGATCCTGCCTGTGACCCTGTAAAGGCCAGGAAGGGTTTGAGATGGGCTGTTCAAGCATGACGAAAGCTGCATTTGCACCATAGTCCTCTTGAAAGAGGAAGGGGATGAGGAAGATCTTAAAGTCTGACTGTGCTGGGGTAGCAAAGCACACCCCACATAGGACTCTACTGAGTGTGCACAAGATGGCAGATGTAGTCCAAAGTGTTACAAGAATAGAAAGGTTCCTGAAAGATTTGCCCACAAACAACCATTCTTACCTTTCCGGTCGGGTTTGAGATTGCGGTTGACTGGTGGGGGCTGGATTTCACTCAGCCGCCTGTGGCACTGCGCCATGGCTCCTCCTTTATGCACAGGGAGGGTGGCCGAGGACAACCCCACCAGGTCAAAGTGATGCGGCCCAGGGCTCATGGGGATGTAGAGACTCTGGGCATTGTCGTTGGCTTTCTCGGCGTGGATCAGGGGCGAGGAACCGGGGTTCATGGGGACATAGTTGTCCTCGGAGTCGGTGCTGTGGGAGCGGGCCACTGCTGCCTTGGCTTGCTGGGGGACAAGCGGGAGGATGTGCTGTGAGCATCAGACACTGCTCAACCCTTTCTCACTACAAACTCCTTCATCACATTATCACCGAACACACCCCTGAAGTGGGATCCGCTCTAAAATCTCAGCACAGAGGGAAGAGATGGTCCGTCCCCTCCTTGGCCATCAGTTTGAACTGAAAGGGTCTCCCCTCACTGTTTCCAAGACATTGCAACATCCTGAGTTCAGGGAAAGGTCTTAATCACCCAGACTTGAGCTTCTTCTCACGATCACAGTGAGCTGCAGAAGCACGCTTAACCTGGAAAGTCATTTTCCCCTGTGCTCTGGACATGACTAAAATGCAGTATGAAAGGCTGCTTTAATGTCATTTCCAGCTCGGGAAATCTTAGAAAGTGCACAAAAGAGGCTGGTCTGGCAACATGTCAAAATTCAGCTCAGCAGCATCCCAGGCTTTGGAGAAGCCAAACTCCTGGGTGCTGTTTTTGGGTCAAAGCTCCAGGCAGATAGATACACTCTGTGGAAGTACCCAAGGAAAGCTCTGCATGTGGTGCTGCGTTAGGTGGTTGTCCCTCCATCTCTACCCTGCAGGCCACCATGATTTTAACTGAAATCAGTAATAAACCCCTTCTTTTCTTGACTTAGCATAGGACTGGGCTGTGAGGTCCCATCTGGAACTGACTTGTCTCTGAATCTATAAGGTGCAAACGGTGCCCATAGTGTGGTGGCCGACATCAAGGCCAACTCACCAGGTAGGAGTTGTATCCATCGTTCATTGACTCGACTGACTGCACAGCGCTGCCGCCTCCATGCTGGGGGTATTCGTACGTCTCGCAAGAAGAAGCTGCAACACAACCACAAATGCACAATGTGTCCCAGTGCAACTGCTAATAAAAAGGGCCCCTGAAAACAAAATCCAGGTACTGGGAGGGCGGTATCTGTTCTTGATGACTGAGATGCTTGTGAGAAGACGTGTCTTTTAGCCTGTCACAGACTCTGTGTCATGCTCCCTGCCAATTAGCATCACTCTGATGTGTCAATGCAACTGCACGTGCCGCACGGAACTAACCTGGTTCTGTCAAAGTGCTGCAAAATCCCAGGGGTGAAGATGTCAGATAAGGTAGATCACGGTGACAAAACTGGGTTAAGGGAGAGCTCTGTTACAGCTCGCTCAGCAGACGTAAGGGCTGGCAGCCTCTGGTGAGGAGTGGGTGGGGTGAGGACGGGGTGCTAAGCTCTTAGACTGGTCTATCTACTGAAGAGCATGGGTCTGATCTCAGCCTAAATGTTGGTATTTTGGTAGGAGGAGAGGGAAAAGGCGTTTCAGGGATCTGTGTGTATCATTTACAGTATGTTTTCTCTCCAACCATCTCTTCTAAGTGATTTTGCAACAATCTCATCCTAGGCACAAGGTTTGGAAAGGGCGAGTCCATCCATGGCCCATCCATGGCCAATGGGAAGGGTAACTCTGCTGCACTGGGCATGTCAGATCTTAGAGATGTGTAAAATTATGTCCCTGTCTAGCCAGAAAAACCAAGGTAGCTCCAGGCTGAAGCGTGTTCTGATAACCCTGGTTATGAACTGACCTAAAAGGAGGCTAAAAATGGCCAAAATCACCAAAATCTGGTGAAGGGCTGCACGGGGAAGCAGGTTTGGGTTTCTGGGTCAAGGCACAAAACAATCAAGAGCGAGCTGAGCAGCTCGGGTGGGCAGAGCCCTGGGGATGCCTCTCCATGCCCATTGCATACAAAAAGCAAGGCCAGATCCTCACCAGGGAGACCTTCTTTGTGTTTGGCCTCCTAGCTGACGCCAATGGCCACCTACGTACCGCAGCCCAAGGAGACTGCCCCATCCAAGGCCGACAGCTAGGACAAAGCCACCCCCTGCTCCCCACCCCCAGATTCACCTCGGTGCAGCCTGCTGTTCTCCATCGCCGGCAGCGTGTTTCTCCGGGGAATGGTGGCTGCCATGGGGGCCAGCCCTAAGCTTTCACTGGGCTGGGGCCGCTGGGGCGGGCTGCCCCACCGTGGCTCTGTCTGCCCGGGTTTTGGGGGCCGCGGGGGAGGCGCAGCAGGCGAGTCGCTGGCAGCCCAAGCCAGGGCATTGTGGTTCTTGTCCAGTGTAAATGTCCTGGGGATCTGGTAGACGGAGAGCGGGGTGGCAGGGATGTCGTAGGAGTCTGTGGAGAGCTCCCCAAACTCCTTGCATAGGGTGTTGTTGGGAGTCTTGTAGGTGTAGACCTCCTCGTTGTCCGTTTCGGAGCTGGTGAGGCTTGACTTGGGGTGACTGTAGGAACCGAAGGCGCGCGGGAGGTCGTACGCACTGTCCCTGAACTCCGAGTTGTGCCGGCTGGGTTTCGGCAGGCTGTAAAAGCCATGGAGCTGTCCGCCGACCCCGTTCACGCAGTGCCCGTTGCCCTGCGAGAGCTTCTGGACCGCCGTGTCGCTCCGCATGAAGAAGGCCGACCTTGTGGCTTGGGAGAAGCTGGCACTCCTGTGGAGGAAGGGGAGAAGAGGGGTGAGGTGGTGGGAGGGCCAGTCCCATGGTGCACCAAGCTCTGCTTCCCCCATTTGTCAGCTTTCTAACCCACATTGCCCAACCGCAGGGTGACCGGAACATCTCAGACACCTCCAAATGTGCCCACAATCCATTTTGTCCTGAAACACCTGGAAAATCACCCCCTCATGGGGTGGGAGGTACCCAGCTCCATGGTGGAGCTACAGGCAGGAATAATTCAGACATAAATGGTTCCAAACAGGCAATTTTCACACCAGCTGACAGTGACCCAAGACACGGCTGCAAAGAGCCAC